AGCTCTCGTATTTTTCCGACATCTTGAATATATGCTACAAGTTACGGTTGCTTTTACGATCCAAATTCCGCAACCTGTTTGATAATAAAAATTCGTTTTTTAGAACGGAAGTGCCTGTTAACGAGCACGTTATATTCTTTACTGTAGCTCTAAAAGCAACTGTTACGGCACATTTAGGTTTTATATTTTATAAGCTGAGGTGTAACGTTAAGCAATGAGAATGGATCTATTACCTATCTCGATAATTCAAAAGAATTTTATTAGCCTTTCAAGGAGATAATCACAACAAACTATAATTGGAAAAACTCAGTAAGTGGTGTTATGTCCTTAATAATTTGTTCGTTGTTGACCACTAGGAAATACTGATGGGTAGATTCGCCAATCTGTGGATTAACTATTTCCTGCATTTATTCTTCTTCGTAACTATGACACCTACACTCCCTCTTTAACGTAACCTCCATCTTCAAAGAACTGTCATGAAATCCACTATACTTACACATAGGCGCGGACATCTTGGCTTCTACTTACCTGTAAAGAAAAAGATAACGTTAATATGACACATAAACTTCGAAGTAATTGTCCTACTTCTGAGTATCTCCTCGAAAACTGAGCAGTACTATCTATTACCAAAATCGACCATTGCGAAAGTGAAAAGAGCAAGCTGTCTATTGGAACTGTATCCCAGTTCGCATGGTCAGCCGGGTCACCACTGTGGCCGCTAGATGCCGTCGATTCTGGTGCTAAGATAGAATCTCAAATGCATACGAGCTCTGTTGAAAGAATAACCGAACTTCACATCTAAAATTTGAATTTTCTAATCTAGTGGTCGATTTTGGTAATAGATGGCACTTTGTACTGTCTTATTTCGAACGATATTTACATTGTAACAAAGATACTGCTATCGTACTTGGTCAGTTTTCATCTCTAAATATTAACTCATTCAAAACAGAAAATTAAATCCCGTAATCCGTGTTGAATTGGCGGATTGTTACCTAGCTAGTCCTGATTGCAAACAATTTCAACCTGGCGTTCTGCCAACCTGTTGTCCGTATTTCTGGAATATGAGACTTCCCTACAATCGATAAAATAAATACAACTAGAGCGTGGAGCTGAATTATTATGCACAACAAAGAATAGTCACACGGCTCACCTGTTTTCGGTAAGTGAATCGAGTTGAGGCTCTTTTGAGTCGCGCAAAAGCTCACCCTCAAGAGAATGAATTCGAGGGATATACAGAGTGTTTCGTACTTAAGTGGACATAATTGGACTTTTTATCTGAAAATAAAAAAGTCCAGTTTTCACAGGTATGCAAGGTGATTTATATGAACACATTAAGTCTTTAAGATCACATATGTCGGACGCTATTGCAGTGATGTGGTGGAATTTTGCACAATAACAAAGTTACCTAGAAGTGACGTGAGACTAAATGGTTGAAAAATTCTGATTTTTTTCATGTTTTTGCTTTCAACACTTTTAAGCTGAATACTGAAATTTTTGACTATGTACAGAAAAAGCCAAAGAATGGTGCTAATTCATTAGCAAAATGAATCAATTGCACCTTTTTCTTTAGTTAAGCATTTATATACTAAGTGACATATAAATCCGAACACCCAGTTTAAATGGTTTTATTTTAATAAAATTTTGTATAAGTACTTAATGAAGCATAATAAGTAAATGATAAAAATTTCAAAATGATTGCTTCAAAGCCCTTTGACCTTTAATAATGTGATGCTGCGCATTCTCCAACGCGCCTAGGCATGCTTTTGATCAGGTGGTCAATGTCCTCCTGTGGTATCTCATTCCAGGCAACCACCAACTCCTCTCGAAGTGCTTCTAGAGTCTGAGGAGGACGTTGCAAATTGAGCAATCTCCTACCCATCATATCCCACACGTGCTCAATTGGGGATAAGTCGGGAGATCTTGGTGGCCATGATAACAATCTGACATCATTATGTTGAAAGAAGTCTATTGTGACTCTTGCAACATGTGGTCGGGCATTATCTTGTTGGAAAGTTGGATCTGCCAGGGTGTCAAGATAGGGTAAAAGATGGGGTTCTAGAACTTCGTGGATATAACGCTGCGCGTTCATGTTACCTCTGATGAAGATTAAAGGTGACCTGGAACCATAAGCTATAGCACCCCAAACCATAACTCCAACAGTGTGATGAACATGTCTTTCAACAAAAAACTGTCGATCCCTCCTTTCACCTCGTCGCCTTCTAACTCTGGCACGACCATCGTGCATGCCTAAACAAAATCGAGACTCGTCACTAAAGACAATACTGTTCCATTCCGGATCCCAGAGTGACCGTTGTCTGCACCACTCAAGGCGATTACGTCGGTGTTCTCGAGTTAAAGGAAGGACCCAGTGTGGCCGGTATGAAAACAAGCCAAAACTTCTCATTCGTCGGTAAACACTTCGCATGCCAATAGGTCTTCCGTGTTCTGCAAACCATTCATTTGCAATGGACCTGGTAGTGGAGAAACGGTCCCTTAAGGCCAATAATCTTAGGCGGCGATCTTCACGGTCTGTTGTTCTTCGGCGGCGTCCAGTGCCCCATGCTCTTTGCGTATGGCCTTCTCGAAGCCATGCCTGGCAACACCTAACCACAGTGTCTGCACTTCTTTGCACTCTAACTGCAATTGCCCGAAAAGAAGGTCCAGCTTCCCGAAGTCCCACTATACGGCCCCTATCAAACTCACTAAGTTGACGAAATCGTACAGGTCTCCGTACTCTAGGCATCGTAACCGATCGTAAAGGATGTCAAGAACCAAAATCCGCTAACGTTGATTCTTTACTGCGGCTGAAATATTCATTTTTAGAGCGTTAGTGAATTAAAAAAAAGCAGTATAAAAACCGGAATGTCCAACTGATAAGGCTGAAAATTTTTTCACTTGTTATTTACAGTAAGATAAATATATTCACCAACTTTTATTAAAATAAAACCATTTAAACTGGGTGTTCGGATTTATATGTCACTTAGTATATTTAACATCTCAAACTTATCCTGTGGTTTTCATGTCGATAATCCTCCATATTTACTTGCCAATCAAAACCACATGCGTCCAAAAAATCTCCTTTATTGTAAACGTTTCTGTCATAGCAGTGCCCTTCTTTAATGCAATGGATTTTCTCAATATTTTTTTACCTGTCTTTCAGATGACACTTAGTGTATTTTTTTTCAACTTTCTTGTCTCTATACAGTGTGCTACTAGAATAGTGTTAAAGGACTATCTATTTTTTCATTTTCAATTATCAACTATCAAGTGTCCGAAAATGTCTGCCTCCGAAATGTACTGCTACTAATAAAACTCTTTCATTTTTTTATAATGTGTACCGCATTATTGATTGCAGACTAGGTGGTATTTTATCTCTTACTATCAATTATTTCCTTATAGGTCCGCAGTCGTCGTAAGCAGAAGCAACAAAAAAAAAGGTGAACCGTGTATCACCAAGATTTCGATACGTTGTGTCTGTTCACACAAAATGTAAAGAATTTGTTAATGCAAGCTTTGAACTACAAAAATAAGAGAACAGTCTCTCAACACCCTGAAATAGGGGCGGTAAGATTAAACAGGTCATTTAATGGGCTCAAAAAGGATTGATATCATGAGGGAAGGAGTATAAATACTTCATGAACCTGTAGTATTAATTTTATTGAAGTAATACGTTTTATATAACATATGTTGATATATTATCGTACCAAATATTTAATTAGTTCAATTATTTACATTATGCGCATAACGAAACGATTGCATTAAAATGTTTTTATGAAATATGCATTTCTAAAAATAAATTAATAAATATATTCCATAAATCCAATAATATAGTTTCCAACTGAAGCAATGTAACACATATTTTAGAAAGTTAATATACCCCGATACAGGCGAGTTCGCGGCAACAAGGATTGCTTATTGAGTCGACAAATATTTTGCTGGTAAATATGAAATATCGTCGGAGCTGTTATAAATCTAAAAATCGTTCATCATTCTGTATTACATTTTAATCGCAGATCACTTTATTGTCAGTGTATATTGAAATAAACAGTAAAATAATGAAAATATGGCAGTCGTAAATTTTAATCAGTCAAAATTCCGGTTCAATAACTCAATTCATCGCAAGGACGCCCGACATTTCAATCGAAGAGCCAACTTCAAACACATCAATTAATTTTTTAAAACGTAGAAGAAATAGCGTCACGGCTGTCATCAGTTCATAAATGTTTATATTGGGCGCAATTTAGCCCCTTGAAGCAAAAGTTAACTACGAACATATATAACAAACAAATTAAATGGGTCAAGTCAGTCAAATAAGTTCATTCAATTAGTCCATCGTCCCTTCTACTTGATGGAGAATTGTGTGTATATCCTACTTGTATTTTAGCGAAAAGAATCACGTAGAAAATCAAAAATTTTCCCCAAGGACCGTGCATACTGCCACCTCAAATGAAGCATGCAAACAGCAAACATGAAATCGGGAGATAGTGTCGTTGAAATTCGGTATATTGAAAGACTAAGGCCCGGTTTTTCAATCGCAGGTTAACTACTACCTTGGTCTTCACTTATAGTTATTTATGATAAAGCGTTTTTCAATATCATGTTTATAGTAAAACGGAAGTTAGCTTCAACCAGAAGACCATCTATGAGTTAACTAGAACGGCTGTAGTTAAATAGCAACACCTGACGTTTTTGACATAAAATTTGATGTTTATTCAAAAAGTCACAACAAATCCATATCAATCTATCGATTAATTTAAGCTATAAACATGTTTATGGATTACGACGTGAATGCGTATATAGCCGTGATGAAGACGCGAGAAGGCCAAAAATAATCCGCTATCGGTCGAATTACTTTGATGAATTTGATGACCTCGATTTCCTTGCAAGATTTCGTCTTACAAAAAGGACTGTAGAAACTCTCCTGAACGACGTCTATGAAGATTTAGTATATCCTACAAGCAGGTAGATGTATATATTATTGTTTATTTCCATATTTTTACATGACTTTGTCATTCCAGGAATAACTGCTTAACGCCCCAACAGCAGCTGTTGTTAGCACTGCGCAATGGAAGTTTTTTAACTGTTGCTGAACATTTTGCTGGGGTTTCAGAATCAACTGCATCCAAAACAGTCCGAAGATTCTTAAAAGTACTAACGAGTAACAGAAGTAATTACATAAAAATGCCGGACTCTCTTGAGGCTCTTGCCATGGCAAAGCAATCCTTTTATAAATAACATAACTAGGTTTCCTCGATGCATAGGTGCAATTGACTGCACGCATATAAAAATTGTTTCTCCCGTAGGAAGCCATGCAGAGCTCTTCAGAAATCGAAAGCAGTTTTATTCACAGAACTGTTTCTGACGCAGATTCATACATTTTCGGAAATTCTCACCTCTGCAGACAATTTGAATCAGGTCACTTTGGAAACTCTTTGTTGGCTGGTGACAAAGGTTATCCTATCATTCGTAGTCGCAATGTTATAGAGAGAACCTATGGAGTTTGGAAAAAAAGATTTCCATGTCTAGCTATGGGTCTCAGAGTTCATCTAGATACAGCTCAAGCAGTTACTCTAGGAACAGCAGTGCTACATAATATCGCTTGTCCTAATAACGAAGCTATGCCCCCTATTAGTCCTGAACAGGAAAATGCTATTAACATGGTTCATATAGATAATGTGAAGACAGATCCTGTAAATATTAGGTTGCCACAAAATGCAATCAACAATGTTAGAACTTACCCTATTAATAATTATTTAGCAAATTTGTAAATCGATTCAATACATTCACTGATGCTCAGTGAATGACTCAATACTAGATGAAAGTTGTTTAGTATAAGATCTGAATTAATCCATGGCAGGTGGATAAGAGTCGTGGCCAAAATTGTTGTTGCCCAAAAAAGGCGCACACGGCATTTGAAAATAGATTTCCCAAACCTCAAAATGGGCACTCAGTCGATCTTTTTGGACACCTAAAGTTTTCGCCATAACTCTCATCTACTTGACATATGAATTATCCCCTATTTATTGTAACTACAGAATGAAAATAAACATGATTTTCTGAAAACACTTTATTATTAAAGTAACATATTATCCTCAAAAATGCGAAATACAAAAAAATGAGTGAAAATATTCCAGAAATGAACAAAATAAATCCTTTGTTTTCTACTTATTCAATGCATTGATCTGTAAATCTAACAGCTGAACCTTTTTTTTGATATATTTCCATTTTTTTATTGTGTTCTTCGATGAATTTTTCTTTTTGTAGTTTCAAAATATTCAGCTTTTCTTCCATTAGTAGATAGTTACCAGAAATATATTTTTTATTTTGATATTAGCATCATTTCCTCATTCTTCGAGAAATTTTCTGCTCTCTTTTTGATCTCTTTCTCCATGCTAGAAAACAGTTTTTGAGAAATTTTAGCAACAAGAATAGAGGTATTGTGTATCCTCTTTATTTTTGGATTGTAGATTATAGGAGTGATGTTAAAAAAGGTGTAAAGTACGATATTCAGCAGATATTTACAACTTAATCGTTTTTTGACCTTAGTATGGTTCATTAGACATTGCATTTGCAACCTTTTTTATCACCATTTATATAATGCCGTCAATAGGGTCTACTACTAAACATTTGTACGAGCAATGTTTGAAAAAACTTACCTTGCTTGACGAAGGTTTTATGTTTCATTCGTTTTTAATGAAATTTCCGGATTTCGATTTTGGCTATTTTAAGAAATTTTAATTCAATCGAACTGTCATGTATGATACGGGACACAGATGTCGAGCGCTCAAAACGCATAGAACACGATATCTAAGAACCGCAGATACAGGGCTGTAACATAAATATATGTTGAACTTCTGGTAAGTTAACTGACACTGTCAAAATACTTGAAAAACGCATTTACAAGTAACTACAAGTTAACTTCCTGGCGATAGTTAACTAACCAAAAAGTAAACTTGCGATTGAAAAACCGGGCCTAAATCGGTCGGAAGAAAAAATGTTTTCTATAAGTATAAAAACAAATTGAAATTAAACTTCTCCAGTTGTCACCTCCATTATTTTTAATTTTACACGCTGACTTGAGCTTACAGTTTTCTCGTTCTATTTTTTGTTGTACACGCCCCGCCGGAATCTTGCAATTTTCAACTCAGAATATAGTATTTACGCGTCAAATTCATTCTCCCAAATTTCAGCTCCCCCCCTCGACCCGGTTAAAAAATACATGGAGAGGGGCACTTTCTGAGTAGCACTGTATACTTGATCCGACAAATCCGATAAAAATTATTTCCTTTCCCTCCAACCTCCACCTAGTATTCAATATATTTGACACTAAAATAAATATTTAAACAGAACTAAATACCTCAATCAGTCTGACGTTTAAATGTATCATTTTTCAAACGACACATTTATGAAGGCATTGATAAATACGCAATTTAATCTCGGAGGAAAATCCTTAGGCCGTAATTAATTATAAAGGGGAATTCCAAAGATGCCTGCGATTGTAGGTGGGTCTAATTAGCAATAAGCTGGCGATTCTTTTAGGCATTGCTTTGAGATGATTAATATTTGGGGATTAATATCTGGCCAGCTGAATGGAAAACAAAACTGTGAACACGCCTACTATAATTATTATTAATTATTAACTTGACACTTTATGCGGAATATGTTTGGTGTAGATATAAGAACCATCAGCAAATTTACGCTTTCCTTGAGGAAAGTGGTAAAATAGGAGACCCTTGGAGTTAACGAATATTCAAAGCAATATGAAGGCCTCAGATCACACAATACCTGCCTTTTCCTTGAGAAAAATACATGGTGGCACCAAAATTAACGCTATTCACTTATTTATCCATTTATAATTCCCAACAGGTTACATCCAATTACAGGTAATACACCGACAACGAAAATGAATCAACAACTTAACAATAGCGGAACATAAAAAAATACATAAATATATACAAGTGTGGCAGTATTTCAAATGTGAAAATAGCTCTTAACATATTGATTCTGGGTCACATCAAGGTACCAATCTCGGGAACAATCCAATACAGTTTTCTCTCTCACAAAAAAATATCACATACGGATATGGAGCATATTCCTTATAAACTTCTTATGCAAGCGATAATTGGAATGAATTTATAAAAAACAAACATGCTATACTATACTAAGTGACATATAAATCCGAACACCCAGTTTAAATGGTTTTATTTTAATAAAATTTTGTAATAAGTACTTAATGAAGCATAATAAGTAAATGATAAAAATTTAAAAATGATTGCACTGCTTTAAAGCCCTTTGACATTTAATAATGTGTGGATGGACCCTGATATGCTACGCATTCTCCAAGGCGCCTAGGCATGCTTCTGATTAGGTGGTCAATGTCCTCCTGTGGTATCTCATTCCAGGCAACCACCAACTCCTCTCGAAGTGCTTCTAGAGTCTGAGGAGGACGTTGCAAATTGAGCAATCTCCTACCCATCATATCCCACACGTGCTCAATTGGGGATAAGTCGGGAGATCTTGGTGGCCATGGTAACAATGTGACATCATTATGTTGAAAGAAGTCTATTGTGACTCTTGCAACATGTGGTCGGGCATTATCTTGTTGGAAAGTTGGATCTGCCAGGGTGTCAAGATAGGGTAAAAGATGGGGTTCTAGAACTTGGAGAACGTGGATATAACTCTGCGCGTTCATGTTACCTCTGATGAAGATTAAAGGTGACCTGGAACCATAAGCTATAGCACCCCAAACCATAACCCCAACAGTGTGATGAACATGTCTTTCAACAAAAAACTGTGGATTCCTCCTTTCACCACGTCGCCTTCTAACCCTGGCACGACCATCGTGCATGCCTAAACAAAATCGAGACTCGTCACTAAAGACAATACTGTTCCATTCCTGATCCCAGAGTGACCGTTGTCTGCACCACTCAAGGCGATTACGACGGTGTTCTCGAGTTAAAGGGAGGACCCAGTGTGGCCGGTATGAAAACAAGCCAAAACTTCTCATTTCGTCGATAAACACTTCGCATGCCAATAGGTCTTCCGTGTTCTGCAAACCATTCATTTGCAATGGACCTGGTAGTGGAGAAACGGTCCCTTAAGGCCAATAATCTTAGGCGGCGATCTTCACGGTCTGTTGTTCTACGGCGGCGTCCAGTGCCCCTTGCTCTTTGCGTACGGCCTTCTCGAAGCCATGCCTGACAACACCTAACCACAGTCTCTACACTTCTTTGCACTCTAACTGCAATTGCCCGAAAAGAAAGTCCAGCTTATGCAACTGTTGTTTAGTAACTGTTAAAGGCTGTACATATGCTAAATATGTTGGTATACAACTACACCATAACCTAACTTTCTGCTGTCATATTTTTGTTAAAATGCCATAACCAATGTTTTAAGACAATCAACGCATGCATATTGGTTAAAAAGGTTTTATCAACTGTTCGAACAGAAGATATAGATCTGGTACAAATTCTAGGTAAATCATTAGTCTCTGTCGGTATTTCATTTCTGACATTTGTCAAATTGTTGTATAACACCTGCAGACAACACCAAAATATTCTAATAAAGTAAACATGGACGATGCCATGATTATACACAAGCACCCGCCATATTGGGCAAACATTTGTTCCTCTATTTGATATTCAATAAATAATTATGTTTCAGTTCGAAATTACAGATATAAAGTGATAAACCTTAGTGTAACTGTGTCTAAATATAGGATTTGTGGAAGATTTAACGCAGATAATTTCAGTTTTCCATCTTAAAAATCTGGACATACTTTTGATCATTATCAAAATATGAATCAAATACGAAGCCCGTAGAAATTGCGTAACTACTTTGCACGATAATCACAATAAAATTTGCTGCGCAAGTAATTCAATAGCCCTATATCACAGTGTAGAAGTTTATCATATACCTGTGTATGAAATTAACAATGGCCGATATGTAAGTAAACAAGATGACTGTATTATGCTAGTTATATATTCTTCATTTCGTCTATACAATACATAAAAAATAGTTTGGTTGCAATAAAGTAGAATCACGTAACAGAATAGTTGTATCGTTGACAAAAACTGAATCTTGCACTGACGCAAATGTCCTGTAGCGGCTGCAAGAGGCTTACACTTTTGTTGTATAACTGTTACCTGCAGCCCTTATACAACCTCTTAAATGACTGAAGTGTCCTATTAGGTGTGCCCATTCCGCTTGTATAGCTGTTCTAAGAGGGTTTTGCCAATGTTCTTACAGTATACAATGCTGTGTAAGCAATACTGTATAATCATTCTTGCAACTCTAATAGGAGTGATAATTGTTAGTTGGGTTTAACATCTGTATCTCCAATTGAGAGCAACGACGACACAATACGAATTTTCTTTGTAGCTGACCGGTGATGAAACTACATATGTTTTGTGCATAATACGAACGGTGATATGTACGCTAAGGTAGAAGAACAGACCCCGGACGCTTCATATCATATCATAATTTCCAAGCCTTCTCTACTAAATCCCGAAAAATAAAAAGTAAATGCTGAAAAATTGATGCGTTGCAAATACAAAACTGTTAAGAAAATTAAAACGTCTTTACAATACGAAGGAGGGACCGCTATTTATGCAGCGTTTAGTCCTAATTTAGTTAGAGTTACAATAATAACACTACTTCGCTTATCCGTGGAAGGAATTTAGAAGTAAACAAAGCTTACGTTTCATAAACATAAACTTCACCGAGGTTCATTGTTGATTTTCCTCTGTAAAACAATGAAGTACGATAG